AGAAAATTAAAGAAGACACAATTTATAGTGGTTCGGTCAATTCGACCTACGTCCACTCTTCAATGGCTTCAGTTGCCGGGTATTTTATTGATTCAAAGGTATGGAGAATGGAGATACAAGCTTTGAGAGAGAGAATGGAGAATCAAAGAAAATAGTAATCTCCGGTAGTCGGTTCGTCTTCTGTAAATCTCTAGTGGGGCGTGATCATTCCTATNCGAACCGACTACCGGAGATTACTATTTTCTTTGATTCTCCATTCTCTCTCTCAAAGTTTATATCTCCATTCTCCATANTGGGCTTAACCCATCATTTGCCCCCCAATGCCCCATGTCCAAGGAGGCTTGGAGAATGAGGCATTGATTACATTTTTTTTTCTCTTTTTTTTTTATTTTTTATTTTTTAAATTTCAAGTCTTTCCCANCTTCTTTATCGCAGCTAAGAGATTATTCTTGGTGGAGATCACGACTTATCCTCAACGGAAGGAGGAGGTTGGGGAGCTCTTCATGAAACGTGGTCAAAGATAGGACCGTTTCTTTTGGTGGTACAGATAAGCTTCCCGTGCTCTCCTCTTGATGACGTGCTAAGCAAGAAGTCTAAACGGCCTTGGACTGTCTTGGACTTGGTGGATTTGGACCGTTTCCTTTGNTATCCTGGACAGCCCAGGCGCGCTGGGCAGCTACCTGGGCGCTGGCCTTGCTGTCCTGGACAGCCCAAGTGTGNAGGCTAATTTTGAGCATTCGAATGCTGTCTTGGACAGCTTTGGGGCTGAAAATGAAAGACTGGACAGCGAAGGGGAGATGGGCTGCGCGAGGAGTGGCTTGGGCAGCGCAGGGAGACGGCTGGGCAGCGCGCGTGCGCGCTGGGGGCTTAGGCGCTGGGGGCCTAGNCTGGGCAGCTCGCGCGCGCACGATGGGGGGCTGGGCGGCTGCCTAGGCTCTACTCCTCCTGTCCTGGATAGCCCAGGCACACTGGGCAGCTGCCTGTGCGCTGGCCTTGCTGTCCTGGACAGCTCAGGTGCGCTGGGCAGCAGTCTGGCTGCTGCTTCTGCTATTTCGGACAGCTCAGCTGCGCTGGGCAGCTTCAGTTCTGCTGCGCTGGGCAGCTTTGGGACGCTGGGCAGCAGTATTTTTCCATCAAGGGGCGCTGAAAATCAGTCCAAGGTTCATCAAGGAGAGCTAGGCAGTGGCCTAGGAGCACGGGCTGATCCGATTCTCACTCGAGGCACTGATTTGGGC